ACCCTTTCCAAAAAAATTGAATATCATGGAAAAGTTGTTTAACTTCCATAATTCCATTCAAAAGGTTATTCTTTAATAGATGATAGATTCAGGACTCACAATTTAAATGATTCCAAGTATTTATTTGTTTATTTTTACATAATTTGGGCTTCCAGCTCATGAAACCCATAAAAAAAGGATTAAAAAAAAAATAGAATATTGTGAAGACATCAGCCCACACTTCTCAATATTTGCAGAAAAAAAAAAGAGAAAGAAATTAGGATCACAACAAATCAATCAAAATATGGTACTTTCAAAACGATATGTCAATCTTCAATTCTTGGTTGTGAATCCCTTTGTCTTAATCACTGCTTCGATGTGACGTGGCATTGAGACAATCAGCCTGTGGCATTGACTGGGAATTATGGAAGCCCAGATTTCCTTGATGCTGTCAGCTCTTCTTTGTTGTTGGGTCTGGTACTTCTCATTTTCCTCTTGAGAATACTCTATAGATTCTCAATGGGGTTTAGGTCTGGCAATTGGCTGGACAGTCAAGCACTCTGGTATGGAAATCAAACCAGGTTTTGGTGTTTCTGGTGGCATGGGCCAGGTTCTGCTGGAAGATGAAATCTGAATCTCCATACAGATCCTCGGCAGAAGGAATCAAGAAGTCCTCGAAAACATTCTGGTACACTGTTGCAGTGATCTTGAATTTAAGAAAGCAGAGTTTACCAACACCTGCACAGAACATTGCACCCCAAATCATGACTGACTGGATATTTCACACTGGACCTCAAGTAGTATGGGCTCTGTTCCTCACCCTTCTTCCTCCAAACCTTTGGACCTTGATTTCCAAATGAAAGGCACACTTTACTTTCATTGGAAAAGAGGACAGAGGAACCCAACAGTTGTAGCCCATTTCCCGGATGGGTCTGAATGTGGTGGTTTTTGAAGCTGTGTCTCCCACCTCATTCCATTCTTTCTGGATCTTTGCCAGATTCTGGAATCTTCTCTGTTTGATAATCCACTGAAGCCCACTGTCATCTCTTGCTGGTGCATCTTCTCCTGCCACATTTTGCCCTTCCACTAGACTTTTCATTGATATGCTTGGACACAGCACTCTGTGAACAGACAGCCTCCTTAGCTATGAACTTTTGTGGCTTACCCATCCTATGGAGGGTATCAATGATGGTCTTTGACCAGTTATGTCTGTAGTCTTCCCCACATTGAACCACACTGAGACAATTGAACCAAACTGAAGCAATTTAATGACACCTGGGAAGACCTGTGCAGGTGCTTTGAGTTTAGTAGATGATTAGTGTGTCACACTCAGTTTAAAACATTCATGCCCTGCAAAATGTGACCCGATGTCTCCACAGTATTCAAATTTTTTGAAATCCTGTTTTTATGGGTTTCATGAGCTGGAAGCCCAAATTATGTAAAAATAAACAAATAAATACTTGAAATCATTTAAATTGTGGGCCCTGAATCTATCATCTATTAAAAATGTACTTTTTGAATGGAATTATGGAAGTTAAACAACTTTTCCATGATATTCTAATTTTTTGGAAAGTGTCTTTATGTGTATATGTATATATAATATATATATATATTTTTTTAATATATATATATATATATATATATATATATATATATATATATATATACACACACACACACACATACATATACACATATATAAGGACCTATTTGAGTAGGTAAGCCTCAAAACATTTTAGGCCCTCTTCATACACAGTGACTCCCTGTTTGCTTTAGATTGCATCAAATTTGGACATCAGTGTAAACTCCTGATGCTGCTCAATAATCCAAGTAGCTAAACCTAACAAGGTTGAGCCAGGTTCTCTGGACGGATTCTTCTTTGCTGAAACGTTTCGTCTTTTATTCAAAAGCTTTCTTCATTCTTTTAGATATAGCTTGTAAATATAATGTATTTTTAAACAATGTTGTATTTTAAATACATTGCTGTTCACTCTCAGAAATATTGTTGTAAAAATGACAGTGGAAGGGAAAAACAGCAGGTTTTAACTTTAGAAATGTTTAAACTACATAATAAGAATACAAACATTTGTCATCAACATAAACTTTTATTGAAATCTACTTTATCTTTAACTAGAACCTTATTTTCACATTTTAATCACCATTACCAAGTGTATTAAATGTCTAAAATAATTTTTGTTGTACTCATGTGCATGTTGAAGTAGACAGTGAGGTTTATTTTATTTTTCTATTTCAACAACAGATGCAATACATTTTTAATTTTCTTTGTGTTCATTACTAATTCTCAATCTTGTCAGTGTTCATCGTTATTCTTCACAACTTTCTTATTATGCTACGGCACTGTTACGTATAACATGCTAGAAACAAATATTAGGATTATTTTTTGTGTTGATTATAAAAAGTATTTGTGAAAAAAGCTTAGGGTCAAACATTTATCAACACCAGAGATAAGAAAAAGAAAGTGAAGTCATTCAGTACCTTGGTGTCTGTAAGCTGCTGGAGTTAGTAGCTTGGGTTTTAGTAGCAGTGGTTAGTGGTAGTCCTTATTAGGGAACGGAAGGCCGGACTTCCTCTTGTGTTACCTAGAATCTGTGAGTCCAAGTCATCGTCGATAAACTCCTCTCCTTGGATGATGTGCTGCGTGTCCTCGCTGTGATTGACAGGGCTGGTCATCTCCTGCTCCTTCTCGTTGTGCATCTGGGCATAGATGTTGCGGTTTCCTGGAAGCTTCCTGAAAAACAATGGGGGATAGGCATCCTCAGTCCTAAGCCAAGGACTGTGGGATTCATTGCTTTTATGAGATAGGGTTGTACTTCTAGTGGGTATTTTAATTTTAGATGACTCTTCAGTGGATGGTTGCTATTCGGACTGAGGGCAGTGATACAGGTGGAGTGAAAATAAAGCATGCTTTTAATTGATTTATCCTCTGCAAGACATAAACAAATCTGTTTTCATTTATGTAGTTACATGACAAAACAATCTGTCATTTTGTTCTCGCATAAGCTCCAAGAACCCATTCTGTGCACAAGCTCATGGCAGAACCTGTCTCAGAGCAGCATTATCGTGCTCAGAACTTTGTGGGCGATTTTATGTAGAAAAGTTAATAAACTAAATGGTCTCATTTGGCTTCAACTCTTCTGCTGAAGAGCCGCTGACCGAGGCACAGCCATCTTGACAACTCTTCCAATAAAACTTACAAGATTGTCAAAAAACACAAAAATAGTCAAAGCACTCATGGAAGGAGAGCGCATTTTGTGCATGGAGGAAACAGCGAGTAGACGCAGGCGGCTCTCTGTGGAAGGGAGTACGCCTCCGCTGGGTAGAGCTGCGATTTCTGGCCTGAGCCTGTGCCAGACCCGACGGGCCAAAATTTTGTGCTTGATGGGCAGGCCGGGTTGTGCTCGGGCTTTTGATGCAGTTTTAATTGCGCATGTGGCCCCAGCCATCCTCTTATCACACATTTGAGGATTTGTAATTGATCCACAACAAGTGACATAATGGAGCTGGAAAGTATTAAACAAAAGCTAAAAAAAAGGGAGCGCTCACTCTACAAAGCCAGCAGAGTGAAACCTGCTGATGTTTGTCAGGTGCACGCTCAGGTCCGACCGGCCGGTTGAAAGAGATTTTAAAAAGTTGCGTTAAGCTTCAGATGGACAACCGGATCATCGGCTGCACGCGTCCCGCTCCGCACCCTGCTCTTATCTGCGGGAAGGAAGTTGCAGCACCTGAAGCTGCAAAAGTCAAAGTGACCAGCATGTTCCATTAAAATAGCCTTGATCTATAGTTTCCCAAATAATTTTGCTCAAAAAACATTTTTGTTCGTCTGTATAATAGCCTATGTTTAGAGTTGATTTTTGTAGGCTATTTGCTTTGTATGTTAATATCCATTTGGTGACTTGTTAATAAACAAGAAATCTTGTATCTTCCTTTCTTTGAAATATGATTTTAAAATAGTATGTCAAATTGATTTGCTTACAAAAGCAGTAAAAGGTTAATTAAAAAAAACGAACTTTTTTACTTTATCCAAATTATTGTTGAAATTGCAAAGGTATAGTACTGGGCTACTCATAGGAATATCATATCCGTGACTTCTTTGTGGTTTCGTGCATGGTTTTCCAAAACTGGGCAGTTCCAAAATATGTGAGAGTGGTCTGCATCCACTGTTCCACAATTCCTCCAACACGTCAAGTCTGTGCCCTTAATCTATTTTTGACCTTAGGCGTGATAAAAAAAATCGTATCAGATTTTTCCAGGTGAACTCCCTCCATATGCACGAATTGGTGAATGTCTGGTGTGTTTTCCACATATCTTGCCAATCCTCATCTGGGATATATATCTGATCAAGATAATGTTAATAGCTAGTAAGAAAGCTATTATGAGGAAATGGGGAAAGGAGGACCCTCCATGTCATGATCAATGGATTGGGATAATACTTTGTAGAAGAAATCTATATAATGGAAAAACTTGACATATCGTCTGAGACTACAACAAACACAAATGGAAGAAAAATGGGAGAAATGGATACGATTCAAAACCAAAGGCAGCAACAAAAAATAGAGAAAGAACTTGACAAACTAGATAAGACAAATAGACTAATAGAAGATTAGTTTCCAAGCAAAATTTATTTTTATTTATTTATTTTTGTATGTAGTGTTAAATGTGAATTGTACATGCTATATGTAAATAAATGTGGAAAATGCCAATAAAAAAATTAAATGATAAAAAAAAATAACCTTATTTTTTTTTAAATCAGGTTCGGGCCTCTAATTACAGTTAATTGGTCGTGTCGGGCTCAGAAAACATGCCTATGAGATCTGGCCTGGCCGGACTGTTTAGGCCCGAATGCAACTCTGCCGTTGGGCAGAGTAGGGTTACTTCTCCTACGTTCACTCATTATTGTGCATCATCTGTCAGAAAGTGACATTTCTTCATGACAAATTTGCAAATTAGCACTTCTCCTTGATTACCAACAGAAATAGCAGATGTTCCTCCAGTGTTGCTGATTCTGTATGTGTGATATGTGGTGCAGTGAGAAGGCTCATCAGGAGTTCACCCCTGCAGTTTCTCTGAGTATGAAACGTCCTTGAAAAAAACAAAATGTCCTACATGGGTGAAAACAGATCTCTTAGCATCTCGCAAAGTATAAATCAGCCTTCAGTGTTTTGTACGCAATAAATAAACGGGACATTTTCATGCAAGCTAACAAGACTGGGACATATTTAGGAACTGGTTTTTATTTATTAGGCACATTTTGTTTGGTGCAGCAATAATAATAATAATAATAATAAAATAGAACTGACAATAAAACATTAAACTTGGGCAGAAACATGTTGGCTGTCCTTTACTTTGGTCTAGAATTAAATCAGTAAACACACACCAACACACATCATTGTGTCCCCCCCACACATTACGGATGCTTCTGACGCCCTTGCCACCAAAGCTACATTTAAATGGATTTAACTCAGCCATTTTTACACACAGGACCTATAGAACTGACATTTGGTGTGGTTATAGTTGAGAGTGTTTCCTATCATATACTGAATCCAAATCAAAAATACAAGATGGCCACCTTAGCTAAAATGAAAAAAAAAATAACAGGCATTTTTAGAGCTATTCAGCTGAAATAGCTGAGAGCGAACCCTAATAGACTCTAACTGCAAATCAAAAATCAAAGATGGCTGCCTGAGCCAAAAAGGAAAATTACTATAAATCAGCCGTTTTTAGAGATAGAGCTGAAATTTGTTGTGGTGATAGCTGAAAATGTTCCCTATCACATACTGCATGCAAATCAAAAATCCAAGATGGCTGCCTTAGCTAAATGGAAAAAATGACTATAACTCATTGATTATTTTGCCACGTTGAGCTGAACTTTTGTATAGTGGTAACTGAGAGCGATCCCAAACACATTATTGTCATATCAACAGTTTAAAGTGGCAGCAGCCTGAAAGTCCCCGTCAAAGTTTCTCCAGGAACTTTCAAGTGTTTAACTTCTATTTATCTGCTATTAAGACAAAACACATTTTGTGCTGATTACAGTTCATGTTAGCATGCTAACACTTTAACGTATAATATAAACACTCTGAATGTTGCCTTATTGTAGTATGCTAACATTATCGTTTAGCTAATGCAGCAGTGAATGGAACTTGTTCAGCTAAAATTTGCCCGTTGTTGTATATAGAATAAAAATCAGCTGGGGAAATATCAACAATGCCCTTGATGTATTTTTAGCTATTTTATGAGATTAAAGACAAAATAACCATTACTAGGTATTGTTAGAAAAGCTGAATTTAAAAAGCTGATAACATTCAGCTTGATATGGCCGAAACTTATTTAGGGGGTGGGTGATAAACACAGTGGCTTCATAATTTGATCGTGCTTACCTTTTAAACTTGTATAGGATTAATGAGCCAGTGGTGATGACGCCGATTAGGAAAATTACAGCTAGAGCCCAAATACCTGGACCTCCAACTGCTCCATGGTAGCCTGGAGTTAAGACCAGCAGAAATGTATCAAAGAAGAATTGATCTCTTTTGCACAATGAAAGATTACATTTGAGAACAGAAACAAAATTACATTGAGTTAATTTTGAAAAGGGTAATTATTTTCAAAAGTACATGTTTTTGTATTTTCTTTAAACTCGACAAAAAAAGAAACAAAGGTAAATTTACTTGTTGAATGCTAAAGTTAAACATTTTCATAATAAAAGCTTCAGGTTTGTTGTACGTGAATAAACCTGTAAATGTATCTTAGCTCTTCATTGTAACATAAATCTATTCAGTGGGAATAAATTACTGATCGGCAGTTTTTAATTAAATGGGCAGTTCGAAAGAACTGATAAGAAGTTTTGCGAACCTGCATTGGGATCGGCTAACATCACAAGTATTTGTTGACCTCCTCGGACCATGAAGCTGACGTTGTTGTCATTAAACGCCTGCACGATGGTTGGAATACGCTAGAGAGGAGAAAATGTTAGATTAAAAAAAAAAAATCGAACGCATTGCATTTTATCAGGCGATTCTTCATTTTTCTTATGATGACTAAAAACTAATTCTATCAACAAAACTTTTATATTTTGTAAATGTTTGTATATGTGTGAGTTTGTACCTTATCTACAAATTTACTTCTCTTGCTTGGTTTGTTGTCCAGTGGTAGAACGTACAGGTCGGCGGTCGTGGGGAGACCTGGTTTAACCACAGTCACTATGGACTCCTGAGGAACTCCTGTGACCTATTATCATACAAGTAAAAGTCACATTCTCAAACATCTTTATGTACGTTATTGATGCAGATCAAAATAAGTCACTAACACAGTAAATTGACCACGCTTATTACTTTATAAGCACTTGTAACTTGCCAGCATCTTCTTGTTTATAATTACTTATGATAACCTTGATTTTAGCTACAGCAGAACTACCACAAGTACAGTAAACTCATATAAACAAGATGTTTTACACCATTTGCTGATAGTTAATGTAAAAAATAATCGCAAAAATCACGATTATTGTTTTAAAAACATTGTAGAATACACTGAGACGAAGATTTTAAGTTAGGCCATTACTTTTGCAGGTTCATCTAGGATTTGAATTTGAGAAAAGCAAAGTTTACTTTTAAAAAAGCTTGGTGAGATAAATTCAATTTATTTTTAAACTACATTCTCGTGTTTTTTCTGATTTATTATATATTCTGTACTTCATAATGGCAAAATAGCGGTATAATGTTGTTTCTGTTGGCTTGTAAGTTGTGATTTTTAGCAAAATGTCAGAGTATATTTGCAGACTACCACCACATTTGCTACATTCATTAATGTGAAACGGTCAAATTGGTTCTAGTAATTTAGGTTTTGTCTTTGAAAGTGTAATTTCTCACTAAATGAAAAATCTGGGACATTTAGAAACAGGGGCAGCACGGTGGCGCAACTGGTAGAGCTGCTGCCTCTCAGCGAGCAGGTCCTTGGTTCAAACCCCGGTCCAGGGGCCTTTCTGGGTGGAGTTTGCATGTTCTCTCCGTGCATGCGTGGGTTTTCTCCGGGTGCTCCGGTTTCCTCCCACAGTCCAAAAACATGCATGTTAGGCTGATTGGTAACTACATTGTCCCTAGGTGTGAGTGAGAGAGTGAATGTTTGTTTGTCTCGTTTGTCTCTATGTGGCCCTGTGATGGACTTGCGACCCGTCCAGGGTGTACCCCGCCCCTTGCACAGTGATTGCTGGACATGGGCACCAGCGACCCCCGTGACCCAAAATGGAATAAGCGGGTAAAGATAATGGATGGATGGATTTAGAAACAGACAGGTTTGTTAACCATGTTGTACAAGCTAACTCAGCTAGTTCTTGAAGATAAAATTATGATCACGTGGAATGCTAATTTAAATTTAGCTTCAGCCAGGATTCAACCAGAGATTTTAAATTTCATCATAATAAACAAAGCATGAAAAATGAATAATGATAATGCATTTGCAAATAAAACAGAAAATGGATTTTCTGCACAGCCATAATTACTTATAGCATCAAAACAAATATATTTGTACAGTGTAACGTTTGTCTTTTCTGCAGATGGACAAAACTGAAGGACCAAGATGAGCAGAAACAGTTCAAACTATTCCACACATTTTCGCGGCTGCCTTCAAGCAGCTACAATTTGCTTTAAATGTTGGTAGAATTGTGAAACTCTGCAAAACCCTCCCCAAAAGTAAATTGAAGCATGAGACCCAAATACTAGTGCAAAGTTTCTGGGCCAAATATCAAATACAGCCTACCCCAGCTTTATGCTGGTCGTCTGCAGGATATTGCTGCTAACAGGACCACACTGCTAACAAGACCATGTTGCTACCAGAAATTAAGGAATTTGTCACGAGATAATTAAAATCAGGCACGGCATGGCTAATTGGGAGTCTGGAGTTTTCCTGGTGGGCTGGTCTGATGTGTGGGCTGCAGGGCCAGTGCTCCCTGTGTTTTTTTTATTTATTTTTTAAAATAACTTTTTATTAACAACATATAAACACAGAACACCACTGCCGCTGCTCCTGGGCTGCCAGCTAGGGTCGCCGGCAGCTCTAGTTTTTTATTTATTTATTTTGCAACCTTTCAATCAACCCAGTAGGCGTGTCAGCAAATGACCAATTGGCGACCTCAGTTTGTCCCGAAAGTAAACGTCCCTTGCCTGTGGAGCTGGCTGCAACCAATCTGGGTGTACGTTTGAGTATGAAGTCTCAACCTTCTGCGGACAGTGAGCATGGAGTTTGCTCAGCTCAGGGAGTACATACAGTACGCCTGAGTATGTGGGAGCCTTGAGAGAACGTCACTGCTAACAGAACCATATTGCTAACAGTAACAGTGTTTTTACAGCACTATTTTGGTTTTAATTGCTATTTAATGTTGTGTATTGCTGTCCGTACTTTATATGTTGTCTGTCTAGAACAGGTCTCTCTTTAAAATGAGTCCTCGTGACTCATTGAGACTACCTGTATAAATAAAAGGTAAAAAATAAAAAAAAAACTGCAATCTTACTATTTGCCTTGTTATATCGGAAACAACTTCTTATTACAAGTCCTACTGAATGCAACTCAACCAAAATTTGTATATTTGAAAAGTTGTTTTTTCTTTAAAATACCAGAAGTATTTTGCTTTGTTTGGAATTAGAGAAATTAATTTTAATTAGCTTAATTGAACAAAACTTGTATAACTTTACCTTTGCCAGAATTTTGGTAACCACCTGGCCAACGTCATTTCTCCACTCTGTGACGTTTGGGTTATAGTTGTCCAAGGTTCTACTGAAGCCCAGAGGAAGGATCTGAAAATTATCTAAAAGAAAACAAAAAAACAAATATCAGCTTTAGGAGCCAAACCTCAGATGAGCTCAAGTATAAAACGGACCACAGATTGTTTGCAGGAGTTTCAAATCAAATATAATAAACATAAACCACAGATGCAGGAACACGGTGCTTGTTCTGCTCAGACAGATGTGCACACTTGGAAATCACCTTGAAGAGATAATGTGTGGAAGTCAATCTGCGCATCCAGATGTGCACTGTTGTTAGCATAAGGCATGTTGATTTGAGTGTGCAAATACAAAGATGGTTTGAGCAGACTAATATGGATTATATAGCTACAGTCTAAACAGACTGAACTGCTTACAACTGCAATAAGGACATACAGTAAATAAAGAGTCTTAATGAAACTCCTTTGCCATATCCAAAGTGGTTCAGTGAACCACTTTGTGAACCACCAACGTGAACCACTTTGGCTATGGCTGCCTCAGAGGAGTTGATGGGGGAGAGGGCGGGCCCCAGAAACCATCTTGTCACCAGCAAACTGGTTGGCCCATTATGTGAGTGTGCTGCTTGTGAGACTGAGTTTGATTGTGGCTCCTCGGTCTGATGAAGTCCTTTGGATGAAGGATGAAATGTCTCAACAAAAAAAAGAAACTGTCCAGATGACCTGACAGAACTTAATTGGATTTTTTTTACCTGGATTATTGAGCACTTTGACACAATTTAGATCATTTTATGGTCACTGTAGCAGGTATGAGTGATGGAGGAGGAAATATTTACATTTATCTGAATTTGTTAATTTAGGACACAAAGTCAGTTTTACTGACCAACAACAGATTTAAAACATTATTCACACTTTACTAATCAGAACTCAGTCACTGAAGTAGAATTCCTTAATTACAGGGAATTTTGTCCATACAAAGAAAAATTCTGCTAAATGAGACTGAATTTGTCTTTGAGGTTTTATTACAAAAATAATCAAAAATAGAATGTAAACAACAATAATACAAATATTAAACACAAATAAGGAATAAGAATTTGGATAAAACTAGTTTGAAGACGCAGTTGTTGAAAGAATACTTCAGACTTGATTAAGCAATAAAGATTCATCAAGGGGTAATTCTCTTATCTAAAACAAAAGAAGTCTTGGGACAGAATTTATTTTGTTTTAAATGTGCAAAAGTTTAGATAAAGTGTAAATATTTGATGGTTTAATTTTTGGAATTTTGTTGAGAGGTGCTATTAGAGTTGATCAAATTAGGTTATTTACTAGTGTAGGAGTTGTGGTTTTGTCCCTGGTGCCGTGTTTATGTCCGTGTTCCCCTGATCCTCTGTTTCTATCTTTATAGGGTTTGTGTTTCTTTAGTATCTAGATCCGTCTTGTGTTGTGTTTATGGCTTGCATCCTCTGTCTCTTTCTTTGGCATCTGTGATTACTCACAGGTGCCTTCACTTTGTCTAATTGGTGATTTCTGTATATGAGTCTGTGTCTATGTTAGTCCTTGTCCTGGCATTGTCTTCTGTCCACTGGTGATGACCTGCCTGTTTTGTGAGTATATCCTGATCCTTCTATGTTTGTTTTGGGGAGTGGTGGCACAGAGGTTAGAGAAGATGGGCCTGTGATCAGAAAGTCGCAGGTTCAACTCCCAGTACTGTCAACATCAAAATGTGGGTGGAAAAGGTGAAACACCCACACCTGCCTCCACCCTCATTTGCCCCACTCTGGACCCTTGAGCAAGGCCCTTAACCCCCACCATCTGCTTCCTAAACAGGTCTCTCTTGAAAATGAGTTCTCATGACTCAATTAGACTACCTGTATAAATAACGGGTAAGTGAAAATTTTGGTGTCCTGTAAGCTCTTTGTTTTGTTAATAAATTCTTTATTTTATATATACATCCTGAGTCCTTGCCCGCCTGCCTGCTCCATTGGGTTCACCAGCACCAGCCTTTTGTGACGCCAGCCCTTCAAGCAAAGGAATAATATTTTATTAAGCTGCATCAGATAAAATGTTTAACAAGTCTCAGTACTGCACTAATGTCCTCATCAGATTCTCAACCCCTTTCCAAAGAGACAGCCTTCAAAACTCTGTGTAGTAAACAGATTACAGCTCAAGCGGTCCTTGGAGGATCGTGCCAGAGACTCGTCCACCGTGACCAAGGAGAGACGTTAACAGGGTCCATTAAGGGAAGGGAGCTGATGAGACTAGTCAATGGGTGATGAGCAGTCTCAGGCTTATACCAAAGCTATAAAGCCCTGAGGTCAAATAACCCATTTTATCTTAAGTAGTCACTGTATCTCTTCGATTTGACTTTAACAAAAAATGTTGCTGAACAAAATTAGTTGTTTTCTTTGCTCGGGAATAAACAAGCTGGATCTCAGGCAGAACACATGAGGAGACAAGAAAAATGGATGAACTAAGAACAAGTCCAACAACAACTGAGAGGCTGGAAAACACCACTGACAACAGCTGGGTGCCCTGGACACTCTGGTGATATCAGGCAGTTGTCACTTGGCATCTTCAGTTCATAAAACTGGTCTCGTTCTGTCTCGTGAACTTTACAGGGTTGTGGTGTCTCTAAAGTTGAATTCTATCTTAAAGCAAAGAAAAGGCAATATGATAAAACATTATATTTCACATCATTTCATAAAAATAATTTCAAACAATAATCATGTTTTAAACATGTTATAATCAAATAAAACAAACTTGACTTTACGAATATGATCTTTATAAAAATCTTAAAATAAATTTATCAAATCTAATCAAATCTATTTATCAAACTTTAAGTGATTAAGGAGAAAATGAATGTTCAGAAACATCCATCCATTATCTTTTACCCGCTTCTTCCATATTGGGTCACGGGGGTCACCGGTGCCCATGTCCAGTAATCACTGTGCAAGGGTGGGGGACACCCTGGACAGGTCTCCAGTCCATCACAGGGACACATTGAGACAAACAAGACCAACAAACATTCACTCTCTCACTCACACCTAGGGACAATGTAGAGTTACCAATCAGCCTAACATGCATGTTTTTGGTCTGTGGGAGGAAACCGGAGTACCTGGAGAAAGCCCACGCATGCACAGAGAGAACATGCAAACTCAACCCAAAAAGGCCCCCGGACCGGGATTTGAACCGGGGACCTGCTTGCTGAGAGGCAGCAGCTCTACCAGTTGTGCCACCGTGCTGCTGTTCCGAAACAATAAAATATTATTCAGGTCAAAAGTAAATTTAAAAGCAATCATGAAGGTGGTTATGAAAGGTGACCTCAAGGTCAAAGGATGTGGTAAGGAGAAGTATCTTCATGCTACCACAGATATCATATAATCACTAGATCCCGCATTGGCTGCTGTGGTGCAGGAATTTCAGCTGCCATCTTGGAGCGGTCGTCCTTATTTAGTTAAAGCAAAAGATGTTTCAGCACTTCGCAGCTTATTTCTGTTCAAATCGACGGACTGTTGACGTCAGGTCTCGGGGGATAACTTTTCACAAGTAAGATGAACATATTATTGTTAGTATTTTGTGAATAGAATATTACTGTACTGTATTTATGTCCACCAGCTGATGTTATGTTCAGTGTAACTGAGATCTGATGACAGGAATATTTTTCTAACAAGCATACTCACAATTTCAGTAGCTTTGGTTCATTTTCAACAGATATACATCAGAATTGGAGTTTTGTTTAAGATCTTGGAAATTAAAAATAAAACTAGGGAGAATATAGGAAATAGAAAAAAAGATTGACCTCTTTTGTACAATGTTTTTTGTGTAGACACAAATCTCCTGTTTTCATTTTGAAGGTTTCCCAAAGAACAAGATGTGAGGAAGAGGAGGAAGTATCTTTGAGGAGGATTCATCTGAGCAGTGAGGATTTTAAACTGGAGGATTCTGATCAAACTGATCAGACTGTCCGACTGAGAGATGGTGTGGTACCATCGGTTCACCTTCAAAGAGTAGGAGCATCATTATAAGTTCATTAACGTTCATAAATTTACATATTTTATTGTCAGTCCCAAGGTGAGATACCTCCATGTGTTTATATGAACAGGTAACTATAGACTGTAAAGTTCATATTCATGATGTTTTTTCATTTCAGCTTGAAAACTGCAGGACTACATGAACTCAACAAAAGCTGCAGCTGCTCTGTCTGTGGCCTCTCAGGAACGTGCACGTCACACACACACAACCTCGGCCAAATGATGTGAGTATTTCTATTATATATATATATTTGAGATGTATGTCTGTGTGTATAGAGAGAGAGAGAGAGAGAGAGAGAGAGAGAGAGAGAGAGAGAGAGA